AGTATTTCCTCGATCTGTTTACCTAGAAACACTATCAAACAAGAGGGAATGAAGTTAATCTGGTATGACTTTTTTTCTGAAAAAACAACACAGCTCCTAGAGATCATTGCTTCATATATATAAACAATGTTAGGAAAAAAATCGACAAGAGAAGGAAATCAAGGGCATCCAAATGGGGACAGAAGAGGTCAAACTATCGTTCTTTGCTGACAATATGATCTTATATCTAGAAAACCCTAAAGATTCTGCCATGATACTACTGGAGTGGATAAATAAGTTCACCAGTCTCAGGTTACAAAATCAATGTACAGAAATCAGTAGCATTCCTATACGCCAACAACAGTCAAACTGAGAACCAAATCAAAGACTCAATACCCTTTCCAATAGCAATAAAGAAAGTAAAATACCTAGGAATACATGTAACCAAGGAGGTAAAAGACCTCTACAGGGAGAACCATGAAACATTAAGGAAGAAAATAGCAGAGGACGTAAATAGGTGGAAAACCATATCATGCTCATGGGTCAGCAGAATCAACATCGTTAAAATACTACCCGATCTAAACTACTAAAATACTGCCCGATCCATAGTACCCGAAGTGATCTACAGATTCAATGCAATCCCTATTAATACCAACATCATTTTTCAAGGATTTAGAAAAAATAATTCTATGCTTTGCATAGAACCAGAGAAGACCCCATTTAGCAAAAACAATCACGTAAAAAGAACAAACTGGGAGGCATTAATTTACCAGACTTCAAGCTATATTACAAGGCTATAGCAATTAAAACAGCATGGTACTAGCACAAGAACAGAGACATAGACCAATGGAACAGAACTAAGAACCCAGATATAAAATCATCCTCATATAGCCATCTAATCTTTGACAAAGCAAAAAAAAATGCACTGGGGAAAAGAATCTTTATCCAATAAATGGTGCCGGGAAAACTGAATAGCCACATGTAGAATACTGAAACAGGATCCACACCTTTCACCTCTCACAGAAATCAACTCATGGTGAATAACAGACAAATACCTAAGGCGTGAAGCTATAAGAATTCTAGAAGAAAATGTTGGAAAAACTCTTATAGACATTAGCCTAGGCAAAGAATTTATGAACAAGACCCCAAAGGTAATCACAGCAACAATAAAAATAAATAAGTGGGACCTGATCAAATTAAAAAGCTTCTGCACAACCAAGGAAAATACTGCAAGAGCAAACAGACAACCTACAGAATGGGAAAAATATCTGCATGTTACATATCCAATAAAGGGCTAATAACTAGAATCTATATTAGAACTCAGGAAAATCAGCAAGAAAAAAAATCAAACTCTATCAAAAAGTCGGCAAAGGACATGAACAAAACATTTTCAAAAGAAGATAGACTAATGGCCAACAAACATATGAAAAAATGCTCAACATCTGTAATCATCAGGGAAATACAAATCAAAACCACAATGAGATATCACTTATCTCCAGTGAGAATGGCCTTTATCAAAAAGTTCCAAAACAATAAATGTTGGCATGGTTGTGGAGAGATAGGAACACTCATACAGTGCTGGTAGGACTGCAAACTAGTGCAACCTCTGTGGAAAGAAGTATGGAGATACCTCAAAGAGATACAAATAGAACTACCATTTGATCCAGCAATCCCACAACTAGGCATTTATCCAAAAGAACAAAAGACATTCTATAATAAAGGCATCTGCACTGAAATGTTTGTAGCAGCAAAATTCACAATTGCAAAGATGTGGAAACAACCCAAGTGCCCATCAATGGTGTTCTACTCAGCCACAAAAAACAATGGTGAAATAGCACTTCTTATATTATCCTGGATAGAGCTGGAGCTCATTCTACTAAGTGAACTATCATAAGAATGGGAAAACAAACACCACATGTATGGTGGTGCTTGCATCACCATCAAATTGGTATCAACTGATCAACACTTAAGTGCACCTCTAGCACATACAGTCATCGGTTGTTGGGCAGATAGGAGTGGGGATGGGGGATGGGTCTATACATACCTAGTGGGTGTGGTGCATACTATCTGGGGACATGCTTGAAGCTCTGAGTTGGGTAGGGCAAAGGCTATATATGTAACCTAACATTTGTACCCCTGTAATATGCTGAAATGAAAAAAAGAAAAAAAATTTAGAAAATTAACTTGAATTAATATTAAACTTCCTAATCTAGTATGGGGAATCCAAGATTAACTAGCTCAGCTCCTCATTATGGTTAGTGCTCAAGAATGATACTCCTTAAAATACAATGCATTGTATATCAACCCCATGCCTTGAGTTTCCAAATTCACTGTACATAGTAGTACCACCACTTGGATCTTCTTAAAAACATCCTTTTGAATTAATCACCCTTCAGTGAAGAAATCTTTAATTGTTCCTTAATAACTCCAGCAGTCTAATACCCTATACAATCTGAGCCTGAATTTTCTTTCCTTTCTTTTTTATTTCTTTGTGACAAGGCCTTCCTCTGTTGCCCAGGCTAGAGTGCAGTTGGTGTCATCAGAGCTCACTGCAACCTCAAACTCCCGCACTCAAGCCTCCTGAGTAGCTGGGATGACAGGTGCACGTGCCACCATGCCTGGATAATGTTTCTATGTGTTGTAGAGACAGGGTCTTACTCTGTTGCTTAAGCTGGTCTCAAACTCCTCGCCTCAAGTGATACTCCTGCCTCAGCTTCCCAAAGCTGAGCCTTAATTTTCTAATTGAACTTCCTACTATTCCACCTCAATGAATCTTTTGCTTGAACATTTTAAACACAGTTGGGCTTTTCCCCCTGTACAATGGTACTTATGCTGCCTCTGAGTCCTAGAGTATTCTCCCCTCTTCTACCTTCTCATCAAAGTCCTATCTTATTTAACATTCAGCCGCTCAGATTTCTGAAGTCTTTGACTATAATTAGAGATGTTTTTATTTGTTTGTTTGTTTTACTTCTGTACTTTCTGTCTGGGTCACTCATCTGGAAATCAGTATCTTCTTCTTAAATTGTTTGTTCTTTTATTTGCTTATATGCTTTACAAAATGTTTTTTCTCCCTAAACATACAATTCCCTTCTGGACCCAGTTTGGTACAGTACTTGAGGTACAGGCCCTCAATGTTGGTTGCTGATTTTGTCAGGTGTTAAAGGGCAGGAAGGAAGACTTCCTTCATTCTCTCCGAATGTTCATTTTGACTACCAGGCACAGGGGAGGTGGGGTGTATGCCAGGCAGGAAAAAGCTAGGGTTTATACTCATATATTTTTTCAGGACGCTCTCTGACACTCATGTTCCCACCTCCCAGAGAGCACAAGAAATCCAGCACACATGGGACATTTCTCTCAACTGCTGGGTAGCTGGGAACAGCGGCTGTGGTTGCTAAGCAGTTGCCCAGGGCAGCTTGGCCACCCTTGAGAACCAAGAAAGGGGAGGAAATAAAGAGTTTTCCTAGCCATGAAAGCAATCACTTGAACGTTAAAAGAAAACTAGTCTTGTTATGTTCACAGTAAATTTCCTCAATTAGAAATGTTACAACAAATTTGTCTGATGTTAATGGAAAGCATACTTATACATATATTCATAAAGTGAACACGCATCAAAGACCTTTTAAAGAGTATTCTTTGACATCATAATTTGGGTTTGTAACATAAAGAAAACAAATAGTGTTTAATCAACTAAGTAAGCTTTAGGGACTTTTAAAGTATGCTGACTGATAATGATGTATTTCTTTTCTAAGAAAAAATGGATTTTTAATGGGCATAAACATTTTAATCCCTACTTGGATATCAAGTCAATCAAATTCTCCAAGAGGCATAATAAGAAAATATAAAATTGACTTTTGGTTTTTAATAAGATGCTATATAAGTTATATATCTTAATACATTTTCTAAGTATCCTAGAGCAGAGATACTTAAACCCAGGGTCCACAGGGTTCACAGATCCTCTAGATCCACAGAATGGCTTCAGAGGGTCTCTGAACAACCTGCAATTATATGCAAAATTTGTGAATATGTTTATGGAGAAAGGATTTATAGGTTTTAACAGATTCTCAAAGAGGTCTGTGACCTAAAAAAGATTACAACTACTTCTTAAAGAATATTTGAGTCACAGTCCTCAGCTATAGATACTAACAAGAGTAGATATTTGTAATTAAGGTACAGATACAAAACAGGCTTAGTCATTTTCAGGTTGTATATTTCACCCAGCTTGATCCAAAATTCACTTCACAATTATGCATGTAGATATTAACCTTCTTGCTGTCTTTTCTATGGTTATTAGGTTGAATTATGTGAAATTGCTATTTTTATTAATAAAAAAGGTCAAATATTGGCAAATACATTCAACATATTGTAATACATTTCTAGTTTTTAGGCACATGCTGCTTATAGAGAATACTGTGTATACTAAAAGTGGTGCACAGTTATTATACAAAGCCTTAAAATTGGCAAGAAGACTTTATAGTCCCTTAGGTAGGATCCCAGCAACAGAAACCAGATTTGAAAAGGATATTATTTTCACATAGTAGGGCCAATCTAAAAACTGAAGATAAATGGAGCCAACCTTTTTTAAATCATGTTTACAGACAAATCAATAATTGAAATAGAAAGTTATCAATAAATGCCAGGAATTATTATTATAACAATAATAATTACCCTCCAATCTTTTGAGGTACAATGAAATAAATAACTTTTCCAACATTATTCAATTACTTAAACTAGTTGGTCATCTCCTATGTAAATAAGAAGTCCTCTATAACTATCCCTTTCAATGAAGGGCTAGGAAAGCTAAGTGAGGCAAGAAAAAGGTGGGGAAAAAAAATCACTGTATTAAATGGATTGTCAGGGCCTTGCACATAGTAAGTGCTCAATAAATAGTTGTTTGAATATTGAATGCTTTTTGAGTAAAAGTTATACAGTTCTGTATAATTTTTTTTAAAAAAAACTACTAATATAAATGCCAGATGTGACAAAATCCACAGATATGTTACAGACTTTTTTGTGATACTTACCTCAGCAGAGTTGTGATACTGAATGAAGGTTGCTGAAATCGCATGGCTGAAGGGGTCCCCTGCCTTGGTTACCATGTCCTGCCTCACAAGAAGAGCCAGATCCACTAACTAGAAGATTAGAGCAATGAAATAAAGTCACACAGCTGAAAGTAACCATGAATACCACTGAAGCAATACATTTTTTCATTTGATTGTTTGTTTTGAGACAGTGTCACGCTCTGTTGTCTAGGTTAGAATGCAGTGACGTCATCATAGCTCACTGCAACCTCAAACACCTGGGCTCAGGCGGACCCTCTGCCTCAGCCTCCCGAGAAGCTGGGACTACAGGTATGCACCACCACACCCAGCTAAGTTTTGTAGTTTTTAAAGAGATGAGGTCTCACTCTGTTGTTCAGGCTGGTCTCGACCTCCTGCCTGAAGCTATCCCCCTGCCTTGGCCTCTCAAAGCGCTGAGATTACAGGTGCAAGCCACGATGCCCAGCTTTAAGCAATACATTGTGAATGTGATTGATAATACTTTTTGACTAAAAATGTATATTGTGGACATGAGCATACACTTTCATTGACTGGTGAATGGACCTATCTGAATACAATTGATATTATTCTGAACTTCTAGGGGAGTAGCCCTCAAAATTTATTTAATAATCACTAGTACAGATTTCTAGGACCCAAGCCCAGAAATTCTAATTTATTAGGTCTGCTCTAAGAGTGTAGTCTAGGACTATGGCCTCCAACCCCTGGTCGGTGGTCCATTAGGGACTGGGCTGCAGAACTCTGCCCCTCCCATGCAAAAATTGTCTTCTATGAAACATAGGAAAGGCGGGGACACACAGTAGGTGGCAAGTGAAGCTTCATCTGTATTTATAGCTGCTACCCATCACTCACATCACTGCCTGAGCTCCGCCTCCACTCCCCACCCCACCCCTGGGGAAAAACTGTTTTCCATGAAACCAGTCTCTGGTTCCAAAAAAGTTGGGGACCGCTGGTCTAGGAATATGCATTTTAAACAAGAACCAAGGAGATGCTGATGATTGTGGTCTAAAGATCACAATCTTTGCGAAACACAATCTTTGAGAAACTCTGTTAGAGGGCAGTGATTCCAGACTCAGAATTTGGCAAGCATTCAGATCATCTCACATACCTAGGAAGGTTTTTTTCAAAGCTCAAAAATAATCTCTAAACAAGGCAGATGTGGACTTTGCATTCAATGCCAAGAAAGAGTATGCAGCAATTCTATTTCTGGTTAGGATAAAGCTACAAGAAAAAGTCTTTTTTATCCTAACACCTGCCAGAGCTGAGGATGCAAAGAAATATAATTGAACTAAATTCTAGAAAATGATAGAATTGTCACAGGAGAGAACTCATATCTATCATTCCTGGTAGAGCAGCAGATAGAAGAACTGATCACGGACAGAGATAAGGAAAAACCAGCCATGTGTGGCCTTATGTGACAGATTAGAATTCTTACCTGTGCCACAGTTTCATATGCTAAATATGCCAGAATTTCCATAGCGACAACATTGGGTTTTATCTCCATACTGCTGCAGTCCAACCAGTCTCGAAATTTGGAAGCTTTTTTAGCTAGCCATTAAAAATATAAGTGTAGAAAATTTAATTTTTATAGTCTATTAATATTGTACATTACAATCAAAAAATGAAAAATATGATTAGTCAGAATTACACACAAAAAATAATGTCTATAAAATGCAATGTTTTTGAACTTTATTAATGTCATGATATTCTGGCCCACAGCTCCAAGAAATCCAAGTTTTAACCCTTAGGTACAAAGCAACACAATGGTTGTTTTCGAGAAATCCCTCATGCATTTGGGTCTTTTATTTTGTAACTATGCTATATGACATAGTATATCAAACCACTTAAGGTTTAACACATCTCACATTATTCCAGAATAAGTTACCACTGGCCATAGTTTATGTTATAACAATAGTTGGAAGATGTACTTGCTTGATGTAACCTTAATTTACTCTCATGGAAAGAAAATCCTGCAAGAAGTAACCTGTGATGAAAAAAGGACCAAACAGAAACTGCATTTTTAATACTTTCCAAAATGTGTCTATTATTAGAATAGGCTCAAAGCTGTGAATTTCAAATTAATTGATATCTGGCCTGATCTAAGCATGTGATTACATTTCCTGATTACAAAGATGTCTAGATTCTTAAGCCCGACTCTCAAAATTGTCCAGACTGATTCCAACCTGCCTTTATAACACTTTTCTATTAAACCATCACTTGGCCTTGAGTATAATCTTCTGTGTTCATTCCTGCTCTCCTCCTTCCATGGAATGCTCTCCCATCACTCTTCTTCCATCATATGAATCCTTACCTTCAGGCCATAGTTATACTTTCCCCACTATAACCATTTATTGAACACTTACATCATCAGATAGCCTTTCATGACTGCTTAAAATTTCTCCTCATGTCTCTGCATACCTAACAGTACCAAGAATATACAGAACCAAGCACATATGGAACCTTTGGTTAAATATCTTTAAACTGCCACAGTGTTAAGCAGAGTCTAATTTGATATAGGGCCTTCATTAGACATTATTAATTTAACTAGTAACCTGCAGGGAAAAGATTGATAGTAAAGATTTTATCAAATCTATAAGATTATCTTTTTTTAATAAAAATCCACTGATTATTCTTTTGATTAATCTGGTCCCAGAGGACTATAAAACACTTAACGATAACTCAAAGCATGATGTTTTGATCCTTCTAGATAGAATCTTCATGGATTCCACATACACAAGAGTTTTCTTTTAAATAAATCACTGAAGACATTAAGTCCTGCTATCAAAGCACATATCCAAAGCTGTCAAATGTGGCAGAATTATGATAATCCCCCTTAGAGCTATCTCCCCAAAGTAACTAATCTTCCAAATACTATCTGACATGCAACATTCCATCTAAATAGTAAGCTGCAATAGCTCACAAACACTTGTTTAACATCTGTGGAATATTTCTGAAGTTAAAGTTAATGGGCAGCAATTTGGCAAGATCAATAAAATGTACCTTATTCACTTCTCTTGACAGACCGTTAGGACAGAAACAGGTATTTTGTGATTATGCACCGAACAATTTATTTTAAAAGTGAGGGGATGGATCATTATTAGTATTCAGTCAGATCTACCCACATAAACAACAGATTTAGTAGCTTCATCACGAGATTATAAATACTGAGAATGAAGGGACAAGGACCATGCATCCACCATTGTATACCCAGAACCTCAAATAGTGCCTGGTATTAACAGACCCACAAGAAATATCTCCAGAATAAATGACTGAATGAATGGATGAAAGAAAAAAATATTTCTTTAATAAAAAGGTAGGGTCCAAACTTTCCTATGCATCAAAAAAGATGCACAGAAGTTCCAAAGATCACTTGGGTTATTGTTATTCCACTAACAGGTGAAGGTTCTCTGGGCTAATGCCCTCCTTGTCACCTAGAGAAGGACTGCTTCAGAGACTGACCCCTCCCCAGTGTACTGTTGGTTCCAGCAAAAGAGGCATAGATACCCCTAGTTATGACAGTTTTCACGAAGAGGTGAGGTGCCTCAGAATGAATGAGTTCCTTCCCTTTGCCCCTCTTCCCAGCATATCAGCAAAAAGGGTATTCTGGAAATTGATTAGCAATGTAAACAGAATCCTAAACAATAACCAAAAGTTCCCAGGATTATCAGCTTTCTGAAACTACCTGGGTTTTCAGCGTGTGCTAGACTTAAAATAACTTTACATAATAATTTCATATGGAAATTTAAGATTAGTTACTTTAACACACTTTTTATTCTTATCAATGATCACCAACAAAATTTAAATTTCTTACAATATTCCATTCTCTCATTCCTGCATACTATTTCACTTCTACCCCATCCCTCTCACCAGTCTTTCTATACCTGATCCTTCCTTCAGGGTTCTCTGTAATGCTCATTCCACTCTGAAGAAATTCCTCTGCAACTTTAACCTCTTCAAAAATCACTGCTTTTTGTATTAAATGAAAATAGCTTTCCTTGGAGAGCATGGTTTTTCTTGGAACCTTCCACAGTAAGGAAACCTTACTCCCTTCCTTCTACTCATATTTATGAGCAGCTACTATTTGCCAGCCTGTTCGTTTTGCCAGATAGCAGAGGACCTGTCGGCAGTATCTTCATTCACTTAGTTGCTCCCACAGGAAAAACACAAAACAACAAGTAGCAGACTTCTACCAACTGATAGCAGACTTCTACCAACAGAGTTGGAATTGTGTTTTAACAAATAACTATAAGCCTGTAATTTCCTACCCCACTAAACAATCATTTACGTATGGGGGCAAAATAAAGCCATTTTAAGACAAAAATGAGTGCTTTAAGCCCTTACAGAGTCTCATGAAAAACAAGATTAGGCCAAGAAGGAAAGTTTAAATACTTATCAATTTAAAAAATTTTAAGTCAGGGATGCACAACAAAAACTAAAGATAACAACTGAAATAATACATATAGAATATAGGAATATATAAACTAGTAGAGGAAAAAATGAAATGAAGAAACCCAATCAATCTAATAAAACATAGAAACTGGGAAAAAGCAAATAAAAAAGCAAAGTAAATTTGCTTTTTCACAAGCCTATACAAACCCAAATGTATCAGTAATTAAATACATATAAATTGAACTCATCAATTAAAATACACAGAGCCTTTGTGATTGATTAAAAAGAAAATCTAGATATTAGTTGTTTATAAAAACCAAATATAAAATAAAAAATTGACAATAAAAGATCAGAAACTAATTTACCAATTATAAATTTTAATTATAAGATTATAATCAAAGAAAATTCTGTGAGTCAATATTAATATCAGATTTAAAAAGATGTTAAAGGAAATGACTATCTGACTTATATAAATATAAAAACAAAAGATTAATGAGTCATATCAGTGTGCTGATATTACAGCTTACCCTTAGCCTATAAAGTTATAGACTCATTATTTTAAAATATACCGGTAATCCCAGTGACTGATGAGATCAAATATTTAAGAAGACACTTAAGAAGACCACAATTCCTATATCCTGATAATTTATTATAAGGAGAAGAATAAAAAGAATCTAACATTCTGACCACTGCAAGAATGATTTCTGAATTTGTTGACCCACTTGGATTAAAGAATTCTCAACTATAGTATTCTGTCATATAAAACAGATTCTTCCACCAAGATTCCATAATAAAGTACTCATGGGCACCATATAAACAAATATTTTAAAATGACCAAATCCTTCCCTTCTACAGAAAAAAAATCAAGCATAATATATTGTTTATACTATAATTATTTTATATAGAAAGGGGAAATACCAATTTTTAACCTACTACAGTTTATTATTGAATTAAAAACAAAAAATAAGTAAGTAAAAATCAGATTTTCAAACAAAAAGCATGAGACTTTAAGCCTATTATTAATAGTTTTAGTGTAAAATAATACTTCTGTTCCTTTAAGTGAGTTAAATTTAAAATATGATTTTAAAAATAGTTAAACTGTACTAAATGTTCTTTATAAACTGGAGATTTATACTTATAAAGACTTGAATGCCATTTTTAAACCTAAAAATTATAATACAAAAACCTCTCATTTGCTGAAATTGCCATGATCTGAAGTGCCATTTACTTAATGCTTCACAGATGTATGATGCCAAGTTGTTAGTCAGATTGGAAAGTCTATTTAGTTACAAAGAAAATCTTGCAAAACATATTTTCCTATATTTTACTGACATTTACATGGGACACTACTTGAAATGTGTCATTTATTTGCACTTTGTAATATATAAAGAAGCTCTCACTTTCTTTTTCCAAATCAAATATGCTGTTATTGTGATCACATAACAGCTTTTCATTTAAAGACACCATTGTTTCTATAATCCCTCAGACCAGGGTCATGTGCTACTTCGTCATATTTTTAACTGGACTTTTCATCACACTTTCTCTTTGACCTTTACCCCAAGAACCTTAGTCATCACTGATCTGTTGCTGTAAGGATATTTTGCTACATGATCCAGCTCATTAGCATGAGTCTTTATGTACTTTTAATAAGCTGGTATGCAGTGATGTAAAAGTACTAATTTTACCACTAGGTTATTAGTGTTATGAGAACTTGTACTAATGAATTTGGCTCATATTGAATGCATGCCACAGCAGGAGGTTAGACAAAAATGGAAGAGACTACTGATATGTTCTTTTGTGGTAATATGAGCATGCATAAAGGAAAAGTTTGGTATCTATAATTAATATTGGGAGATTTTGAATGTCATGACTGTACTACTAGAGTCCTTTATGAGTCAAATACAATAAGAAATACTAGTGTAAATATGACTAGGAAACTGTAAAAGAAATTCAAATGGGAATATTAAGAAAAATGGAATTTTTCTGACTAAAAGTAATATGAACATGACACTCTGTATTAGTAACACCCTTTAAAACTTACTGAACACTATTAATTGCAAAACAGTTGAATGTGGTAAAATCTTTTATAGGCTCCTGCACAATGCAGGTTGTTTCCATAACAGTTATAACTATGCAAATTATTAAATCCACCAATTGCTAAGAAACAGATTGTGTCATACTCTAGTACATCTATAATACACAATCTCTTATACGTATAATTAAATAAAATTAAATGCTTACTTACAGAAACTTAATTGTCGACTTTCACAGAATTCTGCATATTGAGCTGAATCCATAATTCGAGTTTGTCTTTCAGCTCTCTAAGAAATAAAGACAAAGACACAAAGTTATTTAAAGCAAGTAGACTATTATATACGTTTTCACAGCTTTAATTTAGAATTGAAATACTTTTTTCCTTTCCTTACTATAGAACTGCAGTCCCCACCCCTAGGCTATGGCCCGATACCCGTCCACAGCCTGTTAAGAACTGGGCCACGCATCACCATGCATGGAAAAATTGTCTTCTGTGAAACCGGTCCCTGGTGCCAAAAAACTGGGCACCGCTGCTCTAGAACAGTTTAGTAATACCATATAGCCCATGATACATAAAATTATGACCAGTAATAGTAGTTATGAAGTTTGTTTCTTTTGGAAATAAAGTTCAAAATGTTCTTTTTTGCTCCTTTGTTATTGAAACTACAACTAAGGAACCTCACTTCTTATATTGTGTACTTCAACATTTTCTTACTCGTACCACCTTTTCAAAGGAAAAGAAAATGGTGAAATGGTGAAGGAATAATAAACCAAACAAAAACTGTTATTAAACTGTTGTTAACTATTATTGCCCACATGCTTTAAAGTTGTGATTTTTTTTAATGTTAAAGCGGGAGTCAGCAAATGGAATCCATATATTTCCCCTCAGTTAGAATATGGGGCCAGATGTAACAAACCCATATTTCAGATTACAAAGAAAATAAAGAAAAAGGTAAACACAACACAGATCCTTTAATCTGAGTCCACGTATGATTCACAGTGTGGTGCAGTTTCATTCGTGGGGTTTTTGATTTAGTACAGCAGATGTTTGCTGCTTCACTGTCCCACAAGAGGTAGAATGATTATAATTCACTCATAGTTTGGTGGGAAAGAATATGACCGCTTCCGCTTCCTTGGTAAGGGAAGCATTTTGAAATGAGACAGGCTGGTACTTCTTGGAATGGGTTTCTGGCAAGTAAACAAAAAAATTCCCTGAGATTTTAAATTTTTTTCTGCTTTGGAAGGACTTTCAGCAAGTTATCTTTATCACGGTTGTTGGAACATATAAGTATCACTTCTTCAAATATCTGTGGATGTTTCTGTATTTTTAAAACTGAAATTATTCTTTTTTGTTTGATTTGGGTGAGTGGTCAATTCCAATGATAGATCAGTTGATGGAATGAATGGTGTACTTACTATAGCTCAAGACAGAAAAAACAGATGGGGCAGTGAGAGTTAAGGTAAAATTTACTAACTACTGTGGTTCCTTCTAAGACTACTCGTTTTCCCCCTCCTTATCTTTCTCCCCCCTTCTTTCTTTCCCTTCTCCTCTCCCTTCTTTTCTTATCCCCCCACACACATAGTCACAAATGTACATATGTGTAGAAACAAAGACAGACTTCTATTCCTTATTTACCCTCTAGTTTCAAGTATCCTTTTTGAGCATAAACAAGCAAATATTTTATATATATATGTAAATTATATACACGTAAAGATAAAATATTTATACATACATGTGTATATATAAAGAAAAAAATACACATGTATGTACATATATGTATGTGCATATGTATCCTCTTGTACATGTATTAGAAACATCATGTTTCCTTAAGGGTATTATTAAGTGGATTTTTATTTACTCGGAAGTATTTTTTGATATATAAATGCATGTCTTAGTTTTGGTCCTCTTTTTAATGTATCTGACATATGACTCAAATGTTTGCTGATGAAAAATAGGAAGCAAGGAAAGGAGAATTTATTTATGTGTTTTGAACATCACAAATAAGTCACTAATGTATTTATTGAAAAAACCCTCTAAGATTGATAATACTGTATCATTCATATGTATCTATGTACGCATGTCTGTTTGTATATATATCTATTTGTGTCTGACTATAGCAGGAACCTCAGGTTTGAATTTCTAGCTCCTAGAAAAATATCTGACATGGCCCAGTGTGATGGCTCACGCCTGGAATCCTAATACTCTGGGAGGCTGAGGTGGCAGGATCACTTGAGGTCAGGTGTTAGAAAAACATCTGACATATAGTAAAGAAGCAATAAACATTCACTGAATGAACAAATGCTACCATTTTATTTTTTGAAATGAAATATAATGCATCCAGGCCTTGATTATCTAATCATTCCTACGTATCTTTTCTGCTATTCTCTAACTATGTAGCTTCATCCACCCAATACATAGTTAGACAGAAAGGACTTAGGTAACTGTGGAAAAAGAAAAGTTCTTAAAGGGATTGTTGGACAATGGAGATTTGGCTTCTGTATATATGCTTAGATAGTTGATGTATCTGCAGTAAGTGTTTCTAGAAGTGAGAGTTAGGAAAACTTATTCTCAGAGATTAAGGTTGCCAGAGTTGCCAGCTACAATTGTGAGGTGTTTAGCTAGCTGGCAGATTCTTAACTGCAAAGCCTATCAATTTTACTAACATTTCGAAGATACTCATAAACATCTGAAAGACTAAATTATTACAGCTAGCTTTATTCCTTTCAGACACCCCCTCCAGTACCTATTCTCTTTTCTTCATTAAGCATCTTAGGTTTTTTTTTTTTTTTTTTTTTCAGGATATTATGACGGTACAAACATTTTGGTTACATTTCATGTCTTTGCCTTACCCAATTCCTCCAGCATCTTGCAGTAACCTTTGATCTCAGGAAGCTGGCCCTAGGGCACGCACAGGAAACCATTTACTGAGTGCCCAGCACACAGGAGACACTCTGTGGAAAGCAGTTAACTCCACAGCAAAGGTTTATAGGTAATACGAAATCATGGTGTATTAGAGCTAGAGAGTAGCTTGAAGTTTATCTTGTTCAAATCTCTTCATTTTAAAGATAAGGAAATGGAGGCTCAAAGACAAGTGATTTGCCAAAGGTGACTATTTTGGAACTGAAGCCCAGGACTACCAATTCCTGAGTCAGACTATTTTCATTATAAAAAGCTGTCTCCAACCTCTAGTAATACTTTACTCCAATGTTTTCCTTTGAGATCCTCTATATTCCATAAATTGTCTTCCTAAAACTTATCATGTAGCCACTACAATTAACATGCCCAAACTATTCATAAGAAAAAGAAATTAATGCAGCCCTGAGTCAGCAAAGAAGGCACAATCTGGGAATAATCTAATACAGAGTGTACAAACTGTAGTGTGTCTGGAGAGTGAAAACATGTCACCGGTATGCAGAGATGCTCATTCCATTCAATCTCTGGATGCTGGGCAAGGCAGAGGCAGCAGAACCCCTAGGCTGGTATTTGGCTATAAGCTGCCTTGCTCATTTACCTTGGAAGGCCATAAAAATATTATCATTTCCTGTGTGTGCCATGACATGAAAAATGTTGGGAAGCACTTGTAGCAATAATGCTAATGTCCCTGACTATTACACGACACAGTACATACATGCCATTCATAGCATGGTCAAGGAAGCTCACGAAATCAGAGATTCTTTGAGCTATGTACACTGACTTACTTGAATTTGAGAATGGATGAGGATGATTCAGATATGCATATCATCTAATTTTTGTTTATTCCTCTCTCTTTCCCCTGAATTGTTTCAAAAAACCAAAAGAAAGAGATAAATTTTGGCCATATGATCCAAATCACTCATCATTTGATTATTACATTCTCTCCTGCCCTTACACTATCATCTTAAATACTAAGAAAGGCAGTAATATCTAACTTTCACGGACAATGTATTCTTTTAAGATAGGAACCATGCTTCACTTCTAAAATCTCAGTATTGAGCCAATGCTTTGCTTAGATTTACCTGGACCCCAATAAGCACTGGCTGGCTAGCTGAATGGATGGAAAAATGTATGGATGGATTGAGGCAAAAGAAATCATTTAAGTCCTTGTTGGCTACCTGATCTAAGACCAGAAACTGTAACAACTGTAATCAAATTTTACGAATCTCAGAGAGAGTAGGTAGTTTTTAGGCCAAAAACCCATTCCAAAATCAAGACAACTGGCTAAATGTTAAATAAGTTTGGCTCTTATTTTCTGTGCTGTCCTAATTCCACTTTCCCCTCTGCCTCTATTCAGATCACCCATTCCAGTGCATATTAAAGTCTACATTAGTAGTCCTTTTCTATTTCTGGTACTACAAGAAATCTCTGGAAAAAGACGAAAGGGGAAATAAATTATCAGCCTAGTAAAACAACAGAATCAGAATGATAATGCCTACTCTTCACATAGAGCAGCACAATAACCTTTATGATAAAGGTTTAAATAGCTGAATTTTACAACTGAGGACACTGTGATTTAGAGAAGTGAAAGAAAAATTAAAGAAGCAAAGCTAGAAGTAAAACTTAGGTCCTAAATACCTACTCTAAGATATGTAAGGTTTCTAAGAAAAGAGTTACTGATCACATTAATGGCAATGATGGTTGTATTTGCAATAGGCTCTAGCTTCTTTTGAACCAAATATTAGAATGTAAACTTAATTTTAAAAGAGGCACCTAAAGTCAGGTCCATGCAAAAAACTTCCATGGGAACGTTTACACCAGCATCACCTATAATCACTCAGACTGGGAACAACTGAGACAGCCTTCAGGAGGTTATTGGGAAAACAATGTTTGGCTCATCCATACAACGCAGTATTATTCTGTGATTTAAAGGAGTCAGTTATTAAGCCATAAAAAAGACATGAAGAGAACTTAAATATATATTGATTAGGGAAATGTTAGTCTGAAAAAGCTACAGAACATACGATTTAAACTATATGACATTCTGGAAAAGGCAAAACTATAGACAGTACAAATATCAACAGTTGCCAAGGTTTCTGGAGAAAGAGAGAAGAGATTTGTAAGTGAAGAACATGAGATTTTTGGGGCAGTGAAAGTATACTGTATGGCTGTGGTCGCCAAACCCCTGTGGGCTGCCGCCCGTTACTGGTCTGTGGTCTGTTAAGGAATGGGCTGCACATCACCACCTGATCCACACCCCCCCACAACACCCCACCCCCCTCTCTCCACAGTCTGTGGAAAAATTATCTTCCATGAAATTGGTCCCTGGTGCCAAAAACGATGAGGACTGCTGTTGTATGATAGTATAATGGT